CCAGTCTCCTGACTGCCACAAATCTGGTCTTTTTTCCGAACACTGTTTCGCAATCGTCTTAAAACCTCCAAATAGCACAAGCGCTCGAACTTTTTCAACATTTTCGTAGATTGGGGCAGTTGATAGCGAGGTTTGTCATCAATCGACATGCCATTTTTAAATCGAGCAAACCACTCGTTCATCTGAGTTTTCCCATAGCATCATCTTTGTAATCTATTTTCAACATTAAAGCAGTTTCAGCAGCATTTTTACCAATGAGAAAACAAAATTTCACAGCCGCACGTTGCTCACTGAATCTTGCCATCGTAAAAAACGAAACGAGCGCAAAACAGCTCTAGGAAAAATAATGATTACCGAGGAACGAAACAAGCCAGATCGACAACTCAGGTGGCTCTGAACTGGTAACGAGTTGCGCTGTACGCCTTTAGGGCAGAGATGTGTACTACACAAGCTCCGTCCACTGCAATGCTATTCCGGTTATTTTTGGGTACCTCCTCGTATGTAGGGTGGTTTAGAGAGATATCAGAGGTTTATTAAACCCCGACCATAAAGAGGGTTGATACAAGCTTATCGTGTATGTTTATATTTGTCAGAGATTTTAGTACTTTAATGGATCAACAGCCCATTTTGTTTGAAAGGTAACTTAAACGTGGCTGTTCTTAGCTATCGTGCAAAAAAATCTGATCGGCCTTTTGAATTCGGGGTTGTTTAAATTTTCAATTAACACCTCCAAACTAACAATTATCACTCCTATTAGAGTTGCAAGAATGATTATACCGTATTCCTTACACAGCATTGTATACTGTATGAACATTGGCAAAACACTCTTAGAACAGCTATACAAGCGGAATGGGCACACCTAATAGGACACTTCAGTTTTTGTCAACTATACAACTATTCTGTTACGTGATTCTACTTTATTGCAACCAAACTATTTCTTATGTATTGCATAGACGAAGTGAAGAATATATAACTAACACATTGCAGTCATCTTGTTTACTTACATATCGGCCATTGTGAATTTCATACACAGGTATATGATAAACTTCAACACTGTGATATAGGGCTATTGAATTACTTGCGCAGCAAATTTTATTGTGCTTATCGTGCAAAGTAGTTACGCAATTTCTACGGGCTTCGTATTTGATTCATATTTTAATAATGATCAAAAGTATGTCTAGATATTTAAGATTGAAAACTGAACTTGTCTGCGTTAAATCTTCCACAAATCCTATATTTAGACTCAATTACACTAATATTCATCACTTTATATCTGTAATTTTGAACTGTAATATAATTATTTAATATTAAATAGAGGAATAAATGTTTGCCCAATATGGCGGGTGATTGTGTATAATCATAGCATCGTCCATGTTGTCTTTAGTTTATTAGAATATTTTGGTGTTGCCTGCAGGTGTTATACAACAATTTGACAAATGCCTGAAATGAAATACGGACAGAGTCGAATGATTTACCCAAAATTTGTAGCAGATCAATCTTCTGTTTGAACAGTTGATAAAACCTTTTGAACCAATATGCATGCGTTGTTTGTCTTAAAACATTGGTTGTAGCATTTTAACAAAAATATGAGAGCAGAAAGTTAGGTTATGGTGAAGTTGTATACCAACATATTTAGCAACAAATGTATGCCGAGCACAGCAATTTTGTATTACAAAAGTTGTAATATTTTTGCCTATGTACAGCCTTTAACAGTTACTAAACAACAAGCAATTGTTGGCTAAGGCCCGTATCGTCAGTCGTTCCTACAATTGTAGGGCACCTTTATGGCCTCCTTGATTGTCATAGTTTTCTATTTTTCCATGTCAGTGCTCTATTTTAAGGTTATGTCACAAACATCTATTTGCATCAAATTGTGCTTGCTTTTGAGCTATATCATGTTTTATCAGCCTGAAATTTCCTACAATTTAACAGAAAAACATCTTCACAATAGGAGAGCGCTGACGCTGACACGGGACAAGTGTAATCTAGAAATTTTTGAAGGAGAGAAAGGAGTATGACAGTCAAGGAGGCCATAAACGCGCCCTACACGCACAGCAAAACAACAAGGCTCAGATTTGTTTTATAAACGTTACCGTGGATGCCACAATACAATCATTTTGACTATCGTGCAAATATGCCGTATAAAATAGTTGTATAAACGTTTATGCAACAGTTAAAAGTTTGTCCTATAAGGTGTTGTATACTATGCTATAAGAATATTTTAAACACCTTATTTTTGAGCAAATATCTTGCAGAAAGCAAATTTGCATTCCACACAACATTAAGCCAGCATTTTGGGGTTCAGGCAACAACAATAGAGAGCTTTTATGGCTGAACGGTTCTTTTACCAAAAGCTTATACCACTACTTTGCTAGTTGGGCTGTTCCTTTGTTCACAATTCCTAGCAAACTAAACTAGACTAACAAAATCTGACGCTTCCCCGTATTTGAAATTCGACTCTTACGATAGGAATCTTGGAAACGGTAAGAGATAGGAAGTCTTAAATTGGGGCGAAGTTGCACATATAGGTACCTCAGAATATTGTTTCGCAACTCAATTTCCGGAGATAAAATAAGAGTATTCTCAACATCATGTTTTTCTTACATTAAACAAATAAATGTATAGTCATTCGACAACATTGCAAACTAGATATTTCAGCAGTGCTGGACGTCCGTCGACTATCTGACAATCTTACAGTGGGTGCCCCCAGTTGGACCTTAAAATGTGCATATTTAGCATAATTCTCTGTGGATTTTTTTAGGATGTGATCCCTCCCTATTCACCAAGAAAATTGACTACCCCCTGCTCTTCAACAGATACTAAATATGAGGAAATGGTGGTGTGATTGCTCTTTCCTTTTTTTTAGTTAAATTAATTAATGGTTTAATAAATGACTAAATTACTAGAAATGAAATCTAAGGATTAGTTAAAGCAAAACAGCTATCAAGTCGCGTGCAAATTTAGGCGCTAGCTCAATAAATCGGAGAGTAGGAGGGGTTAAGAGCGCCAGTGACTCAAGACGGATTAAGTCACAAATCCCCGAGATGTTAGTCGGAACTTGTTCTGCTTGACCACCACATAAAGAAAAGAATCTAACAGTAATGTTGAAACCTAATTAACTGTATACAGAGAGCCAAATAAAACAAGATATTTGAAAAAGAATCACAATATATTGTCAAAACAAGCAGCACATATGCTCCACCACTGGAGCGCAAGTTAAAAGTAGAGATGTTATTCAAAACTACCTCACAATAATTAGACAGTGATAATTAACCCTGCAAAACGTTTACCATGATACACGTACAAAGGCTTTACAAATATAGGCCTTACAAATAGTTTAACGCCTAAACCTAAACTTATCTGTATAATGGTCTTCTTCCAGTTACAGCTTTAGACGTAGCTGTGATGTTCTCAGCTCTCAAAAACTCAGGTCAAAAATCAGTGGCCAGTAGTGAGCAGTGACGTAAGGAACGTCACTAGGTAGAGGCTCCTTTCCTCGTTTCCAAAATTTACGATATAAAAAACCCTAGAGAGAGAAAAAGACTGTTTAAAAATCTACTCTCTACTCTTTGTCTGAGACAGAACTACACATTTAAAAGAATCAAAACCTGAAGGAAAATCCATGTACACTCTCTCTAACAAGAAACCTACTTTTCTTTCTGCAAGGGCAAGAAAAGATAAAAATTTGCAAAGTCACACACCCTCAGAAACGTATCCTTTGTTCTAAAATAAGTTATGGCAGCTCAACATTCAAAATCATGATTAATGTAATATAAATAGCCCAAAACACACACTACCCTATATTTGGATACGTAAAATGCCAAACAAAACACTTTAAGAATTCCAGTCAGCAACAATCAATATATTAATATCTATAAAATACCCAATTAAATGAAGTTATATCTGTTCACATCAGGGTTTTTTATCAAGGGGAAGAGATGACTTCCAACAAAATCGGCTCCGAAACAGCTACAAAGCAGCTACAAAACAAACCTGGAGGAGTGTGAATGGTGGTTCTCCACAATGGCTTTCCACTAAAAGGAATCAGATATTGAACAAACTTCGTCAGGACAAGCATTAATGGACATAGTCCGATGGTATACAAAAGAGAACTTACCGCTGGAGGTTAAAATCCCATTCAAAGATGGACGGGGTAGACGCAAACCAACACAACTAAACGTAAGGTGCAAAATAAAATGGTACTACTCCATAAGCTGGTGTTTGGGGCGTTAATATCCCAAAATCTGGAAGTTAACGAAAAAAAAACGCCCACACACAACCAAAATCACAACGGAAAAGCAAAAGCAAAAATGGCGCTGGACTCGTCGGTACGCAATTAAAGCAAGGTATCTTGATAGTAAATCACATTTCAAAAGAAGGTAACTTTATTGTAAATCAAATTTTAACAGAAGGTATCTTGATAGGAAAGTAAACATTAAGGGCCCCCGCAGACTGCAGACTTTCTATCGGCCGATAGTTTAGTCGGGTTGGGCTGCCAGTGCGCACGCCGAGCCAACTAAACAGTTTGGTTGGTGGAGAGTGCGCATACTAGCCAACAGTCGGCCGATGATTCTTAAGCTATTTACGATTCACTAGTTTGTATCTGACTGTTGAAGTAGCTGTCGCACAATGAAAGTAAATACAATATTGTCCAGAAATGTTATTATTGCTCTGATACAACGTAGGAGGAAAATCAAGAAAAGATTCCGAGAGTACTGGGTGCATCCCATTCTCAGTGATAGATTAGTTGCTGGAAAATTTTACACAATGCATTCCAAATTACTGGATTATCCGAGAAAATTTTTTGCCTTTTATCGAATGAGCATAACCAGCTTCAATGAACTTGTCAATCTAATTGGACCAGCAATAGTGAAGGAGGATACAAATTTAAGGCTTTCTATACCTGTGGAGGAGAGATTGAGCGTTACGATAAGGTAAGATAAACCACAAATACTTTTCAATTATTTTTATTAGAATGCAAACTACAAAATTCGGTATTTTGAGAGATCAAGTTGTTTACAGATCGTATATTTGCGAATTAGTTGAAAAATTTTAATAATAAGACTGGACTGTCTCGTTGGAGTTGCCTGGTGATGAAATGTTTTGAATGGTTGTGGGTGGCAAATTGGGGGATGGTGTAGACCTAGTTGTATATGCCTGTGATTGTTGTTGTGGTGGCATGTTGTTAGTCCCTCGATAAAGAGGAAAAGAGGACATAGGTTGCTGTACTGTGTTGTACCTATATGTTGGCTGAGTAGATTGAACACACCTAGCTAGTCTTATCTGTTTAAACACGTTCAGAATACCTATTTTAGCATCCAGTTTTTCTTCTGCGGTTAAATTTTGGAGTGAAGGGACTAGAGACAAAGCAAAGTTTACATCTTCATCAGCATTAGTCGCATTTAATGATTTTAATAATGCTTCATCCAAGTCCGTATGCTTCGATACATTAGGCCTCTTCTTCCGCTGACGAATAGGGGTGGAAGCAGATGGTCCAGCTTGCTCATCATCCTCATCATTTTCTTGAGAATTGTTCTCCTCCAGATTACCTTCAGTACGTCGGTTTTCCATGCATGGGAGTAAAAATAATAACTGTTCAAAGTAGACACATTTACGCCTCTTGGTCGCAGCTTGTCCCGATTTAGTGTTTTTTTTGTGCATTTAATTCTCGACGAAAGCAAGTCCTTAAATTAGCCCATTTTTTTGCACCTCGCGACCTGAAAAATATTGGAATATCATTAATTTATAATTTATTTCTTTACAGATATCTGGCTACTGGAGCTAGTTTCAATACATTATCTTTTGATTATCTGATGGGAGCTTCTACAATACGAGACATTACTAAAACTACATGTGAGCAAATATGGAATGTGCTTCAACCATTGTATATGCCAATCAAACAAGAAGGTGACTGGATTAAAATCGCAGACGAATTCTATAGTCGCACAAATTTTCCAAACATCATTGGAGCGATAGATGGCAAACATATACGGATGATACAGCCAGAACATTCCGGTTCGTCATATTTTAACTACAAAAAGTTCTTTTCTTGCGTGTTAATGGCTTGGACAGACGCAGATTATAATTTTGTATACATTGACGTTGGTTCTTATGGAACAGCTAGCGATTCGGAAATATTAAAAAGATCAGAAATGGGTAAACGGCTTTCTGAAAATCGATTATATATTCCCTCCGGAAGGCATTTGCCTAATGATGATGTCGGGGATGTTATTCCATTCTCTGTCGTAGGGGATGAGGCGTTCGGACTTGGGAATCACATATTACGTCCATATGCAAAAAGAAATTTAAACTACACCAAACGAATTTTCAACTATAGACATACAAGAGCTCGACGAATGGTTGAGTGTACATTTGGGATTCTCGCTAACAAATGGCGTATTTTTCACCGACCAATAGATGTCAATATCACTTTTTGTGTCCGAATTATTAAAGCTTGCTGTGTCCTGCATAATTATGTAAGAATCAAAGATGGACTAAATTTTACAGAAACTCTCTACAGCTGTCCCATGGATAACTTGACTATAAATGAAAACAACCGAGGAAGAAATAATATGAATAACGTGCGACAGTACATGTCGTCATATTTTATTTCTCCTGGAGGCGCAATTCCGTGTCAATATAACAAAGTGTAATAATGTAGTAATTAATGTAATAACAAATGTAATAAGTATTCAGCTACACCTACGTACATAAATAAAAATTCACATGAAGCAATACGTACCTTTGTTTGTTCTGTCCTCGGCATTAAGGTGATTCCAACCAAGAACAACTGCTTCACAAACTTCCTCCCACAATTTTTTCTTGAGATTTGCGTCGGAGTACTCTTTTAAAGTTTTTTTATAAAGCGCAGGTCTTTTCTCGACTTCTTCAATCAACTGTACGATGGACGTTTCTACAATCAACGATTGTGAATTTGGCGATGCCATATTAAAAATATACGCACGAAACGACTGTCCAACGCCAATGGCCGGAGCGAACTGAGCCATCGGCCGATTGAACAATCGTCGTGTGTGCGCACGTGGAAGTTAGCCAATACTGATTAAGCAGTCGGCCGACAGTTGGCCGACAGATCAGTTTGAAGGAAATCGGGAAGCCCATCAAACTTTTTTATCGGCCGATACTGAATCGTTGTAATGTGCGCATACGCATAACTCTCCATACTGATTAACAAGCCGACCAAACTATCGGCCGATAGAAAGTCTGCAGTCTGCGGGGGCCCTAAAAGAAGGTTAAAATGAATGGCCTTGATGAAGGTATCTTGAACCAAATGTCCCTATACCGCTAGTACGTGTAAAGCCACAAGGTGGCGCGCTGGTTGTCAACCCTACGAGGGTCCAACGATATTTTATGAGGAAATTTCACAGATAGTCGTTAATGACACTATAACATTAATGTCCAAAAGATTTTAATACAATACTGAGTCACTGAGAATAACAAATATAATACGTGAGAAATTATACAATCATTAAGATATGAAACTTACCAAAATAAAATCATTAAACGGGGTTTGGTCTAGGAATGGGCACTCTACTATTAATAAAGAGACATTCAAATTACTCATAAGTGATCAAAACAGTAAAAAGAAAAATTACGTGACACCTGGCTCCACAGCGACTACAGCGATATTCAAAAACTACAGAGCTTTTTCGTCATTGACATAGTGGTAACCTTATGTGAAAATCTCATCAAAGCGATACTTTCCATTTGATGGACAGGCCAGAATTAGCGGGCAGACAGACAAACAATCCGACGAAAATGAGTGACTTGGTTCTGCGTGGTAAGTTTCTTCCCATATTTTTCTTTCTCACAACTCATATAGAAACAACCCGTGGGACTTCGAAAGTTATTCAGAACTTATTACAAATCTGGCGAAAACTCGCAAATTCGTCCATAATTGCGTTCGAAACTTGCAACTCCTGCAATAAATTGTTGTTTACCGAAAATCGCCAACAGTCAGAAGTTTCCGCTGAAGTTGTGCACGGCTAATGACATTCGGTTACTGCCGGAGTTTCCCGCGTCTTGTGGTAGGACTCGAAATCCAGGGATATTTTCCTAGCTGGCATAGTGAAATATTCAACACGTGGACCTGGAATACATAAACTTCATAGTGGTTGAAATAATAATGGAACGTCAGTTCCACAACGAGTACTTTTGTAGGCGATACATAGTAGGCCAGGGAAGTACAAAACCTGACAAAAAAGCCATTCAGGAGCACATGCAAAATTGTGTTCTGGAGTCTAATTTTCCTAGCTTTGAGATGGTGCGGATCGAATAAAGAGCCTAAGGGTGGATTTCACCAGGATTGTCAAATCAACAGTCCGTTATTCTCCACCTATAGGGTAACAGTCCGTCAAATAGAGCGAATGAACTTCAAGTTCCAATCAACAAATGTTAGCAACCAATAGCTATGAAATGTTGAAAATAAAATACTGTCAAAGTATGAGATGACAGCTTGTCATTGAAACATCACCAGCTTAGGGAATATTAAGAAATTACATATAATTTAGTCAAAGTTTAAAAAACTTTTCGATTTTTGAATAAAATTCATGTTTTTATTTAATATAGTCGATTGTTTATTCATGTTTATATTATTGTCTTCAACTGATTTGCGATTTTACTGATTCAACATCACCTACCGTGTGTTTTTTCCTATAAACCTCTTGAGCACCTACTTGATGACAGGCTCTTCCAAAAATTTCATAAATATTGCTCGTTTCCAAACATTCATTCATTTACTTGCCGTTCATCAGTACCATTATAGCACCGTCGATTGATATTCCCACAAAACCATTTAGGATTTTTGATATTCATACTTCCATAAAGACAAATATTTTTTGGTTGTTCAGGAACTTTACAAACATCCATACTATATTTACAGCGATCAATAAATACTCAAATATATGTCGCAAAGCTAGCGGCAACCTTAAAACCTGCAAAAAATAGAATTTTCAATAACCTTCTCGTTTCACTGAGTACACATTTTAGGTTATATTTATATTAGACATTATTTGAATAACAGCTGATTATTACATTTCAAATTTCCTCAACGAGTGAAACATGTGTGGGATCCGTCAACACTTAGTCCCAGTGGAGTAACTGTTGAAACATACTCTAGTATGCTTTATAAATCGTTGCACATGACGCCCCAAAATAGCTGCGTCGGTACCTCGGGTTATACATCTTGACAGTAGGGATGTTCGATACGATCCTATATTTAGAAGTATCGATACTTTTGTTTCCCATAACCGATATTTTGGATCGATATTTTTATATACGACACTTCGGTGTGCTTCACATTTCCCGAGTATCGTCATCTTTCGATCCGGACTGTGTCAGAAAGAGAAACTAACTTCAGATTACTTTTCTTCTTTGTTGCCTTGCGCTGGATATCGATAATTTTATTCCTATATTTTAGACTATCGATACTTCCTAAAACGATAAGAATCGATACATATCGATACTTTTCGTGGATCTAAACATCCCTAATCTTGACAGCTTGTCGTTCTTGTCAACTGGGCTGCAGGGTGCGGTGTTGCCGTTACTATCTTTCATTTTGCTAAAATCGTATGACAAATAAAAGCTTCAAATGACGAATATGAACGGATATGCATAGAATATAAAATATAAATTCATATTGCAAATTTTTACCGAAAAGAAAATATTTACCGATAACATTCTCCACGATTTTTCATAATAATTTAAATATTTTTATACTTGCCTAAAAAGAGCATATGCTTGCTCTCTGCAACCAACAATACGTCTAGTTCAATCATTCCTCCATAGATGGACGCTCACAGCGATAATAGCGAGCAAACGCGAAATTAACTATTTGCACCGTGAAGACTGTTTTTTTTCTGACGTTTTATAAGTTTCTTATATAATAGATGTGCCGGTCTCATCACGATATAAAGCTCCCCAAACCAAGAAACGTTTGTCAGGCCGTCCACGTTGACCTCGTGTGTGTCTGTGTTTGCCACTGGGCATTTGCAGTGGGACTCAATGTAATCAAAGTCTATCGCGGAAGTTTGTGTACACACAACCACGCGTATCCGTTAGGCTTTAAGTGTTCACCCCACAGCGACCACCAGAGATAAACTCCCGGCGTATCTCGCTCAGTTGAATTGTCTATTAAGGCTTGCATGCCTCTCCACTCCAGATTCCATAATGGTGCAGTTGTGTCTTCATGGCAGATTAACCTGAATGATCTCAGTTGCCTTTATGTTTTATGTGACCATTAAATAGAATCAGACTGTACAAGGTGATTCAGAAAACAGTGGCATTATTTCTAGAGCAAAAAGTAAATCTCAAAATAGAACCGGGGATTCCTATACAGGGTGTTCAGTTTATTGTTGCATAACTTTAAGATTCGATAGAACTTTCAAACTTAATGCATAAAGTCTATATAAACATAGGTCGAAAAATGCGTGATTAAATTTACTTTCTAAGTTTTTTTTTTAATATTTCGAACAATATTTGAGGGCGCTCTCTACTGTACCTGTAGTGTATTAAAATGACCGACAAATTTTTCTTAGTGCAATTTTTTGCTTTTTCAATAAAAAAACTGATTCTTCGCACTTTTCAACATAAAAAAGCTCTCTTGTGGATTTTCGTTATAGTTAGCCGTTTTTGAGATATTTCGATTTTTAAGGTTCGATGCATTTTTAATTATTTATGATAAAATAACGTTAAAAAGTCAGTAGCTCGATAATTTTTAGAAGTAGGCTGTGCCTGCAAATATTTTTGAAATTGAAAGCAGAATAAGGTCAAACGTCAATTAGTTGACAGTTAGTTTTGTTCTCTGTTGAAGCCTGAAACGTTTTCTTGCAATTGTGAATGCACGAAATTTAGTTTCGTTTACCTGTTTTTTTTTTGTAAGTTTTATAAAAATGCCATTTTATTCTCCAATCAAGATTAGCGGATATTCATTTTGTGTATGGCTTTGTAAATGGAAACGCAGCAGAAGCAGCCAGAGACTACGCACGAAGATTTCCAAACAGACGACATCCAACTCGCTCAGTATTTGTAAGAGTGCATCTTCTTGGAATTTTTAAAGGCTGAACATGCAAATATGTGGGATAATGTTATGTTATATTTAAAAAGATTGGCCTGGTTCCAGCTTGATGGTTGTCCAGCTCATTATTCGAGAATAGTTAGAAACTGGCTGGACGAAAATTATCCAGAAAGGTGGATCGGCCGTGGAGGACCAGTCGCCTGGCCTCCACGATCCCCTGACCTAAATCCATTAGATTTCTTTGTGTGGAGATTTATAAAAGAAAACGTGTACCAGACTTCCGTAACCACAAGAGATATGCTAATAGAAAGAATCAGGAATGCATGCGATGAAATAAGGCCTTATTTGAATAATGCTATACCACGTTGGATCATTCGTAGATGTGAATTGTGTATTGAACAATTGGGATTACATTTCGAGCAACTACTTTAGATTTTGTATGTTTGTCCTAACTATCCAATAGCATTTTAGTTGTAAATAATAAATTTAATTTGTTAAAAATAATATTGGAAAATTAAACAAATTAATATTCTGTTTTTTTATCTCAATAACGGCTAACTATAACGAAAACTCACAGGAGAGCTTTTTTATGCAGAAAAGTGCGAAGAATCGGTTTTTTTATTCAAAAAGCAAAAAATTGCACTAAGAAAATTTTTTCGGCCATTTTAATACACTACAGGTACAGTAGAGAGCGCGGCTACAGTAAAACTATGTCCATGGTTCGTTTTGTCGTACCAAAAAACCCTTGTATACCAATTTTCACTGTTATATATCAAATATTGTTCGAAATATTTTAAAAAAACTATTTTAAAAAGTAAATTTAAACACCCTGTATTTCGGAAGCCACGCATTTTTCGACCCATGTTTATATAGACTTTATGCATTAATTTCAAAAGTTCTATCCAATCTTAAAGTTATGCAACAATAAACTGAAACACCCTGTATACACACGATCTAAAATTTTCCATTACCAACATAGGTTTTGTACATTTCTTTGCAACTGATGAGACTGAATAAGGACAAAACATGGACATTGTTCAAATAACGCTATGGCAAGATGGTATTACCCTCCGAATGCACTGGATACCTGTTAATAGATAATAATACTAATTTGTTCATCCTGTGGATCACAAAGTGATATAGGATAAGTCAATAAAATATTATTGCGTACATACATGAATATTATTTAAAATATCAAATAAA